GACAATGGGACAAAATAGAATAACCTTGCCGGGTCCCAATCATGTCCTGTTTTAATATAAGACCGGTATATGATAAAAGTTGGATTCTAATTGGGAAGAGACAACATAGAACGGTTCCAAGATAATTCATAATGGGACAACGTGATCGGGATTCTTGTGGCTCGTGCACCCCAAGTTACAAGTAAGTGAAACTAATTATTCAAGTTTCTTAAGAAATCTTAATGGGTATTTGTGAATAAAATTTAATAAGATGTAGAATATACAAAAAATTCCAAAAAGGAAAAAATGTAGACTTTGACATTCTTAATTTATTCACAGTTTTTTGCTAAAGCTCTTCAAATTTTAAAAACTTTTTAAAGTTTTTAATATAAAAAACTGCTATTAAAGATAAAAAATGGTTAAAGACCAGATTGATGACTTTTTGGAATAATCGATCGATTAGAAATAGCAGAAAGATTTGTCTATCATTTTCTCGCAAGCATATCATAATAAAGTCTGGGAAAGGCTAAAAAGAAAAGTATATATTACGGTGATAGTGTGATACTCGTAAGAAACAAACTCTATAAAAATAAATAAAGCACTACTTTTTGGGAGATTAAAAACATACGGAGTACTTAAATCTATATTTCTTTGTTAAATTCTAAAATGACATCGAAAGTCATTAAATACATAAAGAGTTCGTTCCGTAACACTGAAATTGGCTGAATCAGTTTAATGTGCTCAATTTGATTATGTTCTGGCTTAATTGGCAAAATTGGCTGATTATGTTCTGGCTTAAGCGGTTAAATTGGCTGATTATGTTGAATTATGAAAAAAAGTTTAAAATATATTCTATTAATAAAATGAAGAAAATATTATATGAAAAAAGAGTTAACATGATCATTTACAGTAACTTAATCCAATTCAGCCAGGAAAGTAAATTCAACCTTAGTTATTTTGATTATTACATTATTTAATATGAGAAATAAAAAAGTACGTGTTTGGTGAAAATTTTGTGTGAACTAACACTAACGAGTCTCTACGATCATGATTGAATCACCACATTCGTTATTTATCAACCATAAAAAGGGATGACATTCATCCTTGAGGGCCCTCAGCACCGGTCAAACAATTAACTGAATTAAGTAAAATTTAATCACAGAATATCAGTTAATGAGTGCGATTCTAAGCCAATTGCTTGCAAAAGCTCTCTCCAGTTTTACATAATAATCTCTCATCACTTGCCAAAATTCGAATTCCAGATTTACGTTTAGGACACCTCAACAAAAGAAACATAGGACGAGAACCCTCCCTAGTCGTTACTGACGTTCCTCTAATATTTACTGCCTGGTCGGTCCCAATTCACAACTTCTTTGATAGCAAATGAAAGTGATGTTTACTCCTTATCATTTACGTAGTATCATTGTCAGCTCAATTTAGAATAATAAATAATTCCAAATTTAGTAAGGCTCACGGATGGATTTTAGGGGGTGCGGGGGCTGCAGTCGCTCCCTTGGAATTTCAAATTTTTCTATCTAATATTTTCATATTTTTTTATACTTTAATTAGATATATATGTGTTTGCTCATCTTAACTTTTAATTTTCAAAATTAATATATAACTTTATATTATGTAATACTCCCTCTGTCCTCGAAACAAGTTACCTGTGTTGAGTGTAAATCCCGTAGATCCGAAAGCCCAACACGAACTTTGGATATATCAGGAATGACACAGAATCAAAGTGTATAAACAAAATATAAAATATGAACTCACTAATACTCGAAAGCTCACTTGTATTAACTAACCAGTCTGATTACAAGGAATTTCCCGGTCGGTAGGTCGGAAACAATGCTTTAATACAAGAAATAAGAGCAATGATGCTATTCTAGAGCCTGAGTATTGAAATGCTAACCCTTACAATGACTTAAAACCTTCTATTTATACTAATGGAGAGCATGGGCTGCCCTATGCTGATTGGCCGTTGTTCCACCGACTTGGTCACCCATGTTTCCACTTGATGATGTTACAATCTGACATTAATTGCACCTAGCCACTTGCCGGTTGGCCGTTGCTCGAACGGGATGTTGGGCTATGCTGAAGATGCTGTCAAATTGGCTCAAGTATAATATATAGTCCGAACTCCGTTCGGTATGTTTTCTTACTGAGCCAACCCTTATTTGGGCCGAATCTCGTTCGGCATGAATTCTACCTTGATTATCTTATCATAGGGTGATGGCCTCGTTGCTTGGGCTGGGAATCTTGGGCCTTCTTGATCCGGGTATTGGGCCTCTGGATCAATATCCCAACAACCTGTTTGATTTCACACATATTAAGAAAATAATTTTGACTTTACTGTGGAGTGCACTATTTTACACTGTTCAAACACTGTTTGACACTGTTTTGCACTGTTCAAACACCGTTTGACACTGTTTTGATGTAGATAATTAGCCAAATAAGGAAAGTAAGGAAGTGTGAACTTAATTTAGGAACTGCCCAAAAAGGAAAGTGATATCTTAATTGCGGGACGGGGGGAGTACTTAATTGGAGATTTAAATGATGAAACATCTAAAATAATCTGCATAACTTAAACAAATAAACAATAGAACAACTCATTGTTAAAGACTTAGGAATGTTTATTTATCTTTAATTTATTAGATTATTAAACTATCAAATAATATTAAATATGAGACACACTAGTTAAACAGTTTTTATATCATGTGAAGTGAATCTAAAATTACACAATTCATTTACTTCTTGCTTTTTAAAAATAATTTATTGCATAAATAATAAAGTTTAACTTATTTTAGGCATTAATACAAATTTAATATGCACCATATATAAGAATTAGCAATATAATATTATTCTAAAAATAATAATCTTAAACATAGTATTGTAATATTAGCAAAACTCCTCATAACTCACGAACATCCTTCTTGGTAAACAAAATTTGAAATTAAAAAATCAATTCCTTGTACCATTATCTTATCTCATATCTTTCCTTAATCTCCATATTTGACATGTGTGGTGTTTGTTAGTGCGGAGAAGTACAAGCCTTATCTCATCACGTTTTCTTCATTTTCGGGCTAAATAACTGGAAGAAGTTTGTAAACGGTCAGTTTGGAGATTTTCGTAAATTGAATGAAATGAGAAAAGGACGGACTCGTTTGGGAAAAGGCCATAAGTTTATCTCTACCAGATGAGCTGTCTGTTCACATACAACTCTACAGATAAGATTCATTTACAGATAAGTGCTTTGGAAGTGGGTTGTTCTACAGAGTTGTCTGTGGACAGACAACTCATCTGCTGAGGACAGACGTGTGTACACAAAAGGTGTACACAAAAGTCAAATTGCTGTTCAGTGATACAAACCGTTTGAAACTACTCACTTCAGTTTTCTACCAATAGAAAAGCATTCACACAAACCACTCGTTTGAAACTCGCTCAACTACCCAAAGTCAAAATCCCTAAAATTGAAAGTTATCCCGCCAAATTCTCTAACAAAAATGATTACATCTTGATTTATGTTAAGCTTCCATGATACTACCTCCCTCACTTTAGGATCCCACTTTGAAAATGGGTGAAATTATTAATAGTAAAAGGAAATCTTAATTTTTGAGGGTGTGATAGGAAGATAATAAAATAATATGATAAAATGAATGATAAAAAAGTAGGTGTAATAATCTATTACCTTCAAAATTATTGATGGTGTAATAAGAAAATGATTTAGTTACGGTTAAAAATCAAAAGTTGAAGATTCTAACTTTACAAAGGTAGTACTACGTATCATTTATAATTGTGGGGAGGTCAAAATTTTAAAAATAAATCCCGTCCATATGAAAGTAATGTTTAAACTCCTCATGTTTCTATGCATTCCAGCACTACTATAAATAAAATACATTCAACATAACTTCTTACACATTAATTTAGTAAAAATAAATAGATTTCATAAATTTTAACATTTTTCGGTTAACAAAAAATAAACTTAATTCAAATAAAGTTCGATTATGGAATATTCAATTATTTGTGAAGGCTCAATGAATTAAAAATGTGTGTTTCATGCTTTTTCGGGTTCAATTAAAAATAAATATCAGTTCAATTATTTGAATTCGTCATATGTCAAAGTGATTTTTATTATAATTCACTAAAAATTCAATTTTTCCAAATTTATTACTCTCAAATGCAAAGAAGATCTTTCTCACTCTCCCCCTACTTTCCCCTCTAACAACATATCTCTAAAGTCCTTCCCTCCCTTCCCTCCAAACTTCCAAGTATATTCTTAGGAATCATCGTCAACTCTCGTGTCATGCGGGAGCTAAGTCTATGATAATTATTTTCAATTCATCAATTCTACAACTTTTTTTTATCAAATAAGCGACTTTTTCACATAACACGCTGAATTATGTAATAATTAAAATAAATGAAAATGAAGATACTTTTATGTCTGGGTGTGTTAGAATTGGTGAAGAACAATTTTAGTTGTTGTCATACAAGCAGTACAAATATTTTCTTTATTTTAGTAATTAATTACATTTTAATTAATACTATTTTCATAATTTACCAAATTCATTTTCTCCATCCATTTGAGTCGAAATTTTATCAATTTCAGCTTATATATTGTCTTTTATTTGTCTTTTAAAAATCTCTATTTTCAACTTATCAATCTTATTAGAATTTTTTTAAATCAAACACGTAACTTTTAAATTCGAGCGTTGATCTGTTTAATAATCAAAATAAGTAAGTTATACGTAGTAGTTATTTTTGTGGCTGAATTGTATGAACATGTTGGAAAGGACTATTTTAGGTATTTATTTATATATATTTTCATTAATCTATTAACAAATTAATTTTTTTTTTATAATTTATCAGATTCAATGAATTCAATCGATTGAGCTAACAATTTTTTTTACAGAGTATAAGTTTTTTTTTTTTTTTCGAACTCAAGAAAAAAACGCGTCTCCTGTCGATTCCAAACTGTACAAGTTGTAACCCGTATTTTTTTTAATTATTATTCTTTTTCTAATAATTACTCCGTATGTGACATAAATAAGCAAAGATGCGGGAGAGGACGCGAATCGACTCGCGAATTCAAGCCATCATTAGTGCGTAACCAGTTTCCTCAGCGCCTTCAAAGATTCCAGCGCTTCAAACTCCGGTGATCGTGACATTTCTACGGTGACCGGAGGATATTGCCTTCTTTGTTCCCTGTCCTTGATGTTCCTGTGAACAAAGAGAATCTGAGCAATCGTAGAATCGCTAGGCAGAAACGACGATGAACGGGAGCGGACACAGCAGCAGTGAAAGAGAGTTCATAACGAAACACCACAGTCAAGAGCCGGCGGAGAATCAATGCAGTTCAGTTCAGATCAAGTACATTAGAGCGCCTCCTCCTCTTGTTCGTTCTCTTTTCTTAATTCTTTATATGCGGTCATACATGTCTTCTATACTTTCCCGTACTAATAAATTGGTCTCTTGAAATTGACACTTGAGGCTGGATGTAAACTTATTTAATCTTTCTTGACATTTATTTACAAGCGAAGAATCGTTATTGCAATTTAAGGACCTTCGACTGGTTCTGATCTTTCCTTTTGATTTGATCCCTTTTGCTGTCTGAGATACTGAGGCGTCGTTGCTAAGGATTCATATAACTGAAGCCTGATGTAATCATGTTTGATTAAGTTATTTGGTTGATTTCCTCACGATCGCCAATATTTTGGTTGGCTGGGGCAGAAGGGGAGAAGATTTAGGAACTAAAGTTGGGAGCTGGTTCCTATACACATTTTTCTCGACTAATGACTTGTAATAGAATAAAAGTCTTTGGGCCGGTTTCATCCTTTGTGTTGTCTTGATAACTTAAGTGGAAATAAGGAATGTAAATATATCATGCCTATTCTTTCCGTTTGTAAAGATTCTTAAGAGTTCTAAATTGGCATGCTCTTTTAACAGGTTTGGTCATTGGTTAGAAGGTTTGATCAGCCACAGAGATACAAGCCTTTTATCAGCAGGTGCTCAGCACAGGGGAATCTTGAGATTGGAAGTCTTAGAGAAGTCGATGTCAAGTCAGGCCTTCCTGCTACAACAAGCACAGAACGGTTGGAGCATCTGGATGAGGATGAGCATATCCTCAGTGTGAGGATTGTTGGGGGAGATCACAGGCTTAGGGTATGCATTCAACTTGTTTCTGTTATACTATCTATCTCCTTGCACAATTTATTTCGTTCTGGGGATGCATTTTAACAATTATTTGGATTTTAAACCTCATAATCAATGTTCTTACAAAAATAATGTTATAGTGGGTTAAGTGTTAATCGGTTAATCCATATTCCTATTTAAGTTACTCATAGTTAAAGGTGACTAATAGTTGGATTGGAGAAATTTTAATTTGGATAATGGACAATGTTTTCAGGAAAAATTTAATTCCATCTTTGGATTCATTTTTATTAATGTTTTAGCAACTTCAAAGCCTTTCAGTAAACTCTGTTCTGCAGCTTCGATACAGTGAGTCAATTAGTCAAGGCAAAATTAATAAGAATAATCCCTACTTTCGGGGAATCTACAGTAATAGTCCATACTCAGATTGTTAATACAAATAATCCAAATTAACAAAAGCGTTCACAAGAATAAATTGGGGTGAGTTAAAATTAGCGTCCATTTAATACTTCTAACCCCTACTCTCATTTTACCCTTCACAGCTCTTTTTCTCGGGGTGAATTCAAACTAATGCCCGTTTAATCTCAGCTTCATCTCCACAATATGTGGTTCTCTCTAGAATGAAAGGAAGAAGTATTACCTGAGACGAAAAGTAGTGAATGAGAATGGGGGCAGGGTTTGATAGTATTAAACGAAAAGTAGTGAATGAGAAAATGAAGGCTAGGATTGACAATATTAAACGAACATTAGTTTGAAATTACCCCAATTTATTTATGTGAACATCATTGCTAGTTCGGATTATATTTATGAACACCCTCAGAACGGATTACTATTGTGGAATCCTTTAAAGTAGATATTATTCTTATGAATTTCACCATCAGTCAATGACAAAGGTATATAGAACTACTGGAATCCACTGCTTGACTTGATATTCTTTGTAATTTTGTATGGTTGCTTTTTCATCATGTGTTGAAAACTTGAAAAGTAAAACACCAAATAAGTCATGATGATTCATTGCAAATACTGTTTCTTTTCTAATGAGACAACGTTGTTTCTTATTGAACATATAGTATGCATCAAGCTTAATGTCTGAAATATTGCGGCTACTCTAATTCATTCTATACAATTAATTGGCAGCACATATATAATGCCACCAACCCTGGCTAGTTAGGATCATTGTTCTAAAGATCGCTCTAGGCGTCCAACTAATCCCCGCCTAGGCGGTGGCCAGGCGCCCTGATTTTGATCTAGGCTCCTCGACTAATTGGTTTTGTGCCTAGGTGAATTAGTTGTTTGCCTAAGGCGCCTAGTTGCTTGCCCAGGACGCCTAATTGGCCGCCTAGGGCCTCTGATCTTATGAATCTTGATATATGATTTTCACCCCTTCTTGATCCAAGGTATTAAAGCGGTCTTGAATTTTGACAACATTGTATTCACCTCACAGAGCTGGTGGGTAGTAGTGGCATCCCTACTTAATTGTTGATTTTGCTATGAGAAAAGGGTCAAATAAGGCCTTCTACTATTATGAAATAGTCACATAGGGTCATGTACTCAATAAAGTGTCATATAAGTACATCTACTTCTAAAAAGCAATCAAATGAGTCCTAATGACCTATTTAACACCTCTTAATCCCGGTTTCAACGTACTTCTGACCATCTTAGTTTTAAAAGGCACGAGACGCGTTGAGGCGATTTCTTTGATTTACCCGAGGCGCGAGATTATGATGGAATAAAGCAAAATGGCTCACTAAACTGTTTGCGCTTCTTTGTCATGAAGCAGCAGTCAGTTCATGCAATTTTGGACGGGATTTTTACTATGGGTCATCCGGAAACAGTCTCTCTGTGCTTTAGTACAGGGGTAAGACTGCGTACATCCGACCCTCCCTTACCCCACCGTAGGTGGGAGCCTTTGCGGCACTGGGGTAAATGAAAATGAAAATGACCCGAGGCGCGAGGCGCTAGGCGCTAGGCGGTGAGGCGCGCGCCTCACGGATCTCAGCCACATTTCTTTGGTGAAATATATTTTTAGTACTTCTACATGAAGCACTCTTCTCAAAACTACTTCAATTCATACACAGCATACAAGAACCATAAGGTAATTAATAGACTATAACACAAATACAATTCTGTAAAATTAATTACAGACAGATTTGTAAATTTAAATAATTTTATAAATTAAAAAACTTAAAATACTTAAAAAACTTACAAACTTAAAAGACATAACTTTTTTTCAGTTATCTATCAAACCTTATAAATAGCGCAAGATAATAGTACGTATCAGTTATCTAACTTTTTATTTAAATAATTTTAATATTTTTATAAAAATAACAACTTAAAATAAAAGAGAATAAATAGCAGGGGATAAACAGCTTCTGCGACGCGAGATAGCAGCCAAATAGCAAAAGAGAAAAAAACGTAAGAAAAGAGAATAAAAGAAAATAAAAGAGCAGCGAAAGAGAATAAAAGAGAATAAAAGAAAACGTAAACAGTCTTACCTCTGTGCAGCGAAAGAAAAGCGGAACACTCAAACAGCTACGCAAGACTAGCCAAACGCAGAAGGCGAAAGGAAGGAGAAGACTGAGGCGTGAAAGGCGCTCGTCTCTCAGAACCTCAAAAGGCGCCTAAAAGCGTGAAAAAGCACTCGCCTCTCAGAACCTGCGCCGCCTAGGTCTGTAAAAAGCGATGGACCTAGCGCCTATATGCGCCTCGCGCCTTGAGGCGCGCTTTTTTAAACTAAGCTGACCATCTTTTTAGAATACATTATACGACATATGTCGAATATTTAACTAAGATCGGTTGAAATACAAGTCAAAAAAATCGACATGTAAGCTAAAATCGGGATTAGGAGGTGTTAAATAAGTCGTTAGGACTCATTTGATTGCTTTATACAAGTAGGGGTACTTATATGACACTTTATTGAGCACATGATCTTATGTGACTATTTCGTAATAGTAGAAGGTCTTATTTGACCCTTTTCTCTTTTGCTATTAATCGTTTATTTGTCTTCCTGTGGTGAATTTATATCATCTGTTATTTTTAGAACTACTCGTCTGTTATATCGGTGCATCCAGAGGTGATTGATGGAAGACCCGGAACACTTGTTATTGAATCATTTGTGGTAGATGTGCCTGAAGGAAACACTAAAGATGAGACCTGCTACTTTGTTGAAGCACTGCTAAAATGCAATCTGAAATCTCTGACTGAAGTTTCTGAGAAGCTTGCTCTGCAGGGAGGAGAGCTTACAGAGCCCAGCGATCACTTTTAAGATCTGCTGGGAGAGCTTACACCTTTGATGAAATGAAGTTTTCCTTGAGGCTTTGTAAACATCACACGGTACTATGTTTCATAGGTGTTTGAAAACCATAGCTTTTGTAATGGTATTATGAAACGTCCGAGCTTACCTGAGAAGAAGATATGTGTCTATTCGCTGTTTGATGATGCTTTACCGTTTGTCATGCTTTGCAGTTTTATAAGCGCCACGAGTTTGTACTTGTTAGTTTGTAATAGCATGGTATTGGTACCACTAATAAGTGACCGTACCGAACCTATAATAGATATGATTGGTTCATGTCTTTATTTCATTCTTTGTTTATGTTTGAATTACTCCTTCCATGGTCCTATCACGAAATATAATAGTTGCAAAATTTGTGGTCATGTAGTTTAAGAAAGTGGGATAACAAATTATATGACCCTTCACATTTGTATACCATTGAAGAAGTAAGTTAGAATAATGAAGTTGCGGATATAAGTAAAAATGAAATGTAAAACATGAATACGTAAGGGGGCTCCCCGATTTGGATTATGGAGGATTTTAGTGGAGTTTAAAATTTCGTCGGGATTCAGGTGTCCCTGATTGGATTTCTATGAAATCCATGAAAATAAAGGTGTCTCAAACATTCCGATTTCTATTGTTACTTATTTGGATGAATTATAATGGATTTTGATGGATTTCTATATACAAAAACATTCACTAAAAATCTTGTAAACTCTCGAATTTTAAAATCCATCCAAGTTCTAGTTGGGGACACCCATGTCCCTTTTATTTTAACGTGTATGAAATATTCTACGTAAAGTAATAAAGTATGTTAAGTACCGTAATACTTTCAATACTTGGAGTTGTAAGACCACTAACATGTCAAGCAAAAGTGTAAATGCCTGATTTAGATTTTGGATCAACATATTTTGAGCTTATCATCAATATTTTAATATTTTTTACTACACTAGTCATATGTTTCCGCAGTCTTATAGTCAAAACCATTAGTCATGTACTCTATACTTCATACTTCGTATTTTATAATAAAGGACTAGAAATGGACCGAGCTCGGGTCGGGACCAGGTCCGGGTCGGGCTTTGAGCGGTACTGAGTTTGGGAGTTGGAGGCCCGGTATCGACCCGGGCAGGTTCCGGAACCGGGCCGGACCTGAGTCGGGTCTTATATTTTTTTTCTTAAATTTTGTTTTTCTTATTTATTCCTACCCCCACCCCCAAACACCCCCCAAACCACCCAGCCTAACCCGCCTACCACCCAATCCATTCGAAAAAATTAAAAAAAAACCCGGCCCGGACCGGTTCCAAGAGAACCTGAGCACGTGACCCCCCAACGGCCAACCCCCCCCCCCCCCTTTCGTGCCCAAGGCCTGGTCCCGGTTAATCGGGCCGGGCCGGTCTGACCGGTCCCGTTCCATCCGTATAAAGGATCGAGTGTTTTTGTGACAGACTCCAATAGTTGAAGACAACCCATCTTCCGTTTTCTTTTAAAATAAATCAACGTAGTCCATCCTTCATCTCATGTTTTATTCTTTCACCCACTAAATTTGCATCATATCATATTAATAATTAGGTAGTTTTAATTCATTCTTAACTTTTTTTTTAAACCATTTCAATGCCAACTATATAATTTTACATTGATACGATTTTTCATACCACAATCTTAATGTTGATGGAGTAATGGGACTAGGCCTAGAGCCTAATCAACCCAAACCCCGAACTTGGACCCGTGGATCCAACTCCATAACCTGGAGCCTGCCTGCCAACCCAACGGGGAGCCTGCCAGTCCGGCCGACCTCCCAGTCCGGAAGAGTAATGGTCAAACAATTAATGCGCTATTAATTATGTATTTAATTATGTATTAACGTTGTAATTAATTAGTCATTATTATCGGTAGCGGTTACGATTTGTATACGTCTATAAAAGGCGGGTTGTAATTCAGATTAAAGGAAGCGAATTCTACATGCTAAAAGCTTACGAGCGTTCTATTTTGGACAAACATCCGTGCTTTCATTGAGAGCCTCTATTGTCTCTCACATAACTCGAGTAGGAAAAAATGAAGAAATCAGACAAAATCAGTATGAAAATCCAGAAAAAGAAGAAATCCAAAAATGTGGAATTTTATAGAGTGAAGGCTTTTCGGGCCAGATCCGATCGGTCAACCGGAGCGGTGACAGCATGCAAGTCGTTACTCGAAGCTTCTGGTCAGAACAGTGTTGCCACTCGATTCTACACCTATTCGTCCATGCGGCCTGAAGGGTCTACCGATTGGAACTCTGTCAATTCCGCCATTAATGTCGCCCTGAAGCTTTTGGGGAAACAACCGATGACACCACCACGAGGACCCCTGTCAAACCTGAGGCTGACCATCAACCCAACGGCTGACGGAGAAGTACGAGCTTTAGTGCCGGCTCCGCCATCTCCCATACGGAGGCGCCCAGTGCACTCCCGCTCGTTCCACCACTGCGCCAGTCGCCGCCGCAACTCCACGACCACGAAGGAGATGACGCTTCAAGCCAAGCTAAGTTGGGTCCCTCACCGACAGAAACCTTAAGGCTCGGGGTTTGTGGTGTGCGTGGCCGTGGTCGTAGCCGCTGGGAGTATCTCTGGCTGAAGGCATTGTCTGGTCGCACCCTTTCTTCTCTCTGGTTCCGTCTAAAGGGACATATGCAGGATAGGTCAAATTGGGCATTGCTTTAGGGCCATGGAGAGTGCATCTAAGTAAGCTTAACTTCTGGAACATCATAAGGAAGGTCTTCAACGAGAAAATCCTAGGTGCTTACCAAGACAAAAACAGTGGGCCAGCCTACCGTTGGTCCAATCCAATTTTTCAGCGGGCCAAAATTTAACAACAACTTTTCTGCCGTTCAAAAGCTAATTGCTTCAATACAGCCTCTATTAAATTAATATATGTGAATATATATGATTAAAAAAATCATAAATAAAAAACATTTGAAAAGATATTTTAAGTGATATGATTGCTTTTACTCTTATTAAGTGTGTGTAATTTTAACATTGAACAACGGACTTATGAAATCTAATCACTCAAGTACGCCGGACGAGCACACACACTCGTACAATGGCCGAGCACACACACTCGCGCTACCGGGTCACGTCATATGAGTGTGGCGATTAATAAGCTCCAATATAAATGTTAATACCGCACACGGGTTCTTGCGTGCTCATACCTCTTCTTAGTGCATCACAGTCCGACCTCGGGGGACGAGTCACCCATTCAAAAGTTTTTACTTGCGGGTTCGAACTTCTAACCTCGGGCGGCGGGTTAAACTGTTGTTAGGGGCCTAGAGCCACGCTCTTCCGAGCAATTTTGTCACTTAATTGACATTCACATTTCTCGAAAAGGTCGATATACTTTAGTTCTTTGGGGTTGGATTATCCGTTCGAGTGAGGAGTCCGACTCACTTACTCGCGGATTCAATCTTTCTTTCGGAGGCTGGGTTGAGGCCTAACTTGGGAACTTGATGTCGTTTTTTTCATGTAGTGAGTCTGACTCACTTACACACTGAGCCGTGGTTCGACACCAGGACAGATGCTCTATTCTACACTAGTTTCTTTTATGTGTAGGTACAACTGAATGAAATGGGGGACTGAGGGTCTTACCGTCTTCAAGGAAGCAAATGACGAACCTGACGAGTCTGAGCCTGACGAGAAGAACAGTTCTAGCCATCCTACTCGCAGATGGCGACCATTGCAATAAAGGCTGAGGATCTCACCTTTTGCTTCATCTTGGGGGCGTCAAATGTACTCTTTTCCCCTTCATTAGGATTTTTTCCCATTGGATTCTTTTTTCTAATGAAGGTTTTTAATGAGGCATCTCCCCAACATTGACAAGGGCGGAGATCTTCTAGTCTCGGAGAAGAGTAACTGACTTGGACTACTCCCTCTTAGCCGAGTCTACTACTCGACTAAGGGAGTGAGGGACTCGTGATGGAGTAATGGGACTAGGTCTAGAGCCTAATCAGTCCAAACCCCGAACTTGGACCCGTGGATCCAAGTCCACAACCTGGAGCCTGCCTGCCAGCCCAGCGGGGAGCCTTTCAGTCCGGCCGACCTCCCAGCCCGGAAGAGTAACGATCAAATAATTAATGCGCTATTAATTATGCATTTAATTCCGTATTGATGTTGTAATTCATTATTATCGTTAGCGGTTACGATTTGTATACGCCTATAAAAGGCGGGTTGTAATTCAGATTAAAGGAAGCGAATTCTACATGCTAAAAGCCTACGAGCGTCCTATTTTGGAACAACAAATGTGATGCAATGTTATTCATTTTATAAATACACAATACTTCTCAATATGAGCTCTTTATAATTCAGCTGGCTATACCATTTCAACAATTTTAGCAAATGCATTTACTTCTATCCTCTTACGAGCATCCACAATGGATCAATGTCTAGATGAAGAAATTTGATGCTATTAAGAAATTCAGGAGAATGTATCTCATGCAAGAGATCATTACTATCCGAGTCAGATGAAGAAACTGAATTTGAACTTAGGTATGTCTTTAACTCTGAATCTATCTGGCTCAACATGTAATCGTTGACCTTATCAACCTCATCTATGGTTGGAGCAAGAATAGCCCTGGAATAAAGATAATTAATCGGATCACCCTGGGTTAAGAAATCTGGATAAATAGCTTGAACTATAGATTCAACAGGATCAGACGTCATTGGAGCAATCATATCGTTTGGTATTTCAATTAGTGATTCTCCGTCTTGATTTTCAGCAAAAGCTCCGTCACCAATCTTCAAAATCCACTCTGCAAAAGATTGGATAGTTGGTCCATCCGGATGGCCGAGCATCCTTGCTAGCCTCATGTTTTTAGTAAGCCTCACTACAGTACAATTTGACCACAAGAATGAACTGTTCAGTGCGGCGTGCACAATATCTTGTCTCGTGCCTTTTGGTATCACAGGAAGAATTTGCCTAAAATCACCACCAAATACAATCGTCTTCCCACCAAAAGGCAAGGTAGTGTCACAGTGGCTGGAGTAACGAAGCACGTCTCTCATACTCCGATCAAGAGCTTCAAAACAGTGTCGGTGCGTCATAGGTGCTTCATCCCATATAATTAACTTAGATAACTCTATCAGCTTGGCCAACGGACTACCATGTTTTATGTTGCACGTGGAGTCTTCTACAACACTAAGTGGAATCGCAAACCTCGAATGTGCGGTTCTTCCTCCAGGCAAGAGAAGCGATGCTATACCACTTGAAGCCACGTTAAGAACTATATCACCGCGAGATCTCACAACCGCAGACAAAGTCCTCCATAGATATGTTTTCCCAGTTCCTCCGTGGCCATATAAAAAGTAGAATTTCCCGTTTCTACTATCTACAGATTCCATTATCCTATCATACACAACACGTTGTTCATCTGTCATCTCGGCCAACAACTTTGCATGCTCCTCAATCAGATACGATTTATTATACCGCAGCTCTTCATGAATGAGAACTTCTTCAAGCGAGGGCATTTCATCATCAGGTAGCAAGGGTATGCCAGCAAAATCACGTAATGATCTACCTCTCGACTGCAAGAGCTTCTGAATCTCCAACAAACAGTACTTTTCAATTTTCTCTTTATCCAGTTCAAAATCTGCAGTAGCGCATTTAAATATTTTAGTACCTTAGTTAAGATTAAACTAATAAATCAAATATTCCACAATATATACATTTCATCACAACCAAATTACACATGCAATACTTCTAACTTTAATTAACATGCACATAAAGAAAACATGTTTACTAATTCAGTAATTAAATGTTGTATATTTTATTAAATTCATCACTCAACATGAAAAGATGCATAGCTTTTTGTATTTTTTAAGTGAAAATGTATAGTAAAAATTAAGTAATAGTAAAAGTGCTATTATTTGTATTAATTGATAGACCTTTATTTGTTAAACCTTTTAGATTTTTTCTGTCAATTTAGTAAATTTAATAAGTTCACTCTACGTATATTTTTTATACTATTATGAAAAAGCATCCAAAAGGCATATATAACATAGTAAGAAGTACTCCCATAGTAAACTACGTTACTGTACATGGTAACATAGTAGAAGGTATCATTCATATTACCTAAATAAATATTTTGTAATAAATAATTTTAATAAGGTAATAAACTACTAACATTTAGTATATTCAAAAAATATTTTTTATGATGATCTTTTTCATATATATAAGTAATGATTAGCTCAGGTAGTTGTTACGTTAAACCCCGTTCGAACTTTCCTATCACAGGTAGTTCCCGGTGATAGTTTTTAATGAAATTTTGTGAGTATTCTCATCAAGTATAGTTTATTACCACCAAATTTAAAAGCAACTGCGCCAGAATGTACACGAAAAATGCAGTCATTTTCCATGATTTATTCAACTGATTTCCTGATTTAATTTCAAGGAGAAAATTTGTGGATATAATCTACACTTCATGAGGAAGGTTCTCATAAAATTTCATTAAAAATTTCCAACGGCATCACACCTGATAGTCAAGTTTGGACCGGGCTTCCTTGCAAAACTACTTGATGTGATCTTTTTCGTATATATATTAATATACTATCATGTACATTTTTTATCTCACTTAATATGTCATTAGCTATGTATGTAAGACAATCAATTAAGTATTTCATCGAGAAGTAATTATTGTAGAACTAAAATATCTAAATTTTTATAAGCGAGTAATTCACTAAAAATAAAAAAAGATGGTTTAGAATATAATATACCTGGATTACCCGTATTCTTGCGAATATTGTATAGTATGTCATCAGAGAAAAACTCCCAACACTTTTGCCACACTAAGCCTGGCTTCGAAAACTCATTTGAAACCAGTAGAGTAGCAAATACAATGCGAAGTGACCGTGAAGAAGACCAGAAGCTCGCATCTGTAATGCCATCAATAAACTCCTTGTCATCTTTAAGTAAACCACGCGCGTGGCACGCGTCTCTAAATGTAGGATATACGGTCCCTTCATAAGTCCTCAACTCCTCAAAGCTGGTTGCTCCCTTCACAATATTCAACAATATTCGTAGGTAGTACTTCTCCCCTGCTCCAGGTCGTACATAATAAATGCGTCCAATAGCAAATCCTCTCTTCCTTTCTACCCATTCCATGGTATTTTTCTTCCACCTGAATTTGCTTGGAAACTCAACATACGTCAGCTCTTTGGCAGTGGGATACACTTGATTTGCTTTCATCCAAGCCGTGAATTTTGTGGAGTTGATTGTTGGTTTATTCAGTACTGAGCTTATAGATGCATTGGGATTGTAGTATACGTTCTGTGCATCAGGAAGATGAAAAGTGAGGCGCTCAACTGGTACATCTCGATAATGAATATGGAATCCGAAAATTCTCCAAGCAGCCTCACATGCGGATATATACCGACAATCATAGTACATCTTAATTTCATCTATTATTTTTGGAGTAGAGTTATCTATGGCTTCTGAGAACTCAACGGTTATCCGATCGTCACCCTTATTGATGTACTTAAATAAGTACTTAACTGCCCGTGTTTGGTTACACCACTCGACATTAATGTGAGCACTATACTTCAACAATAAGCCACGGTTGTGTGGGATGACATATCTATTATCGAGATCGTGGGTATTCTTAGTAACATACCTGCCGTTGTCTCTGCGTCTGTAAATCGGATAACCTTGCTTATCCATTGTCGTGCGAACGACAAATCTCTTTGGAAAGTGCTTTGTGCACCGGCCTTTTTCTGTGCATGGTGCAGATGCATTCATAGGGCCACATGGACCGTGGATCATCAATTCTTTAACTGCATTGTAATACACAGGGTCAGCATATTCATC